CACCTTTAACAATGATGAGGCTTTTACCCCTTGTGCTCCTTCGTGCCTGAGAACTTCGCCTACCCTGAATGAGCGCCCAGCTGCCCGTTTCTGTGCCGCAGGACTCCAAACCTTATAGCACGTATGTAGTCCGAGCAGAGCGTTCATTCTGCTGACGGCAGCAGTAGTAAATATCCAACCCGGAGATATACGGGCAAAACGGGGTCTGATTTTTTTGCGCCATATCCCATGGACTTTTCTTCACGATTGCACAATTTACAACCCCAACTTTTATTCCCATCAGGCGACCAATTTATCGTACCATCCTTCTTTAAGGCTCCATAAATAGGTTTTCAATGTGGAGTGGGCCATGCGCTCGAGCAGGGCTACATTTATAATACGTATTTCTCAGAGCCAGACACGGATTATGTATTCGCCGTGGGCGCCTACAATGAAGCCGATGGTGAGGACGGTGAACCAGTACTTCTGTCGGCTCGAACACTACCGAGTGACGGTAATTAGTTATTTTCTTAGTTATTTTCTGTTAACACAAAACCAGCAAGAGCGCTTTAGTTTAACAGTTTAGAAAATAATCAGTTTCTGGAACGTGTTTACTGGGTAGCACTATTTTTTTATTCTCATTTTTTCAGTATATTTAGGTTTTTTTGTCATTTCCAGTTTTTATTCTCACTGCTCTACCCATTTTCCAGCGTTTTGAAATCATGACTATCTTTTCATCGTCAATCTTCATTCAGGTACACCAGCCTTTTCCCTATGGCCACCGATTGCCGTCAGGGCACAATCGCCGAGCCCTGGCATTGTTACAGTGTCCTGGGAGGATCCCAATCCGGAACAGGATATGGAAAATGAGATCGATGGCACTCAAAGACACTACCTCATACAGTAACAATTACTTCTGAATCGAATCATTGATTGTTAAGGATTATATTTTTACTGTAACTTGTAGATACGGTATCTACCAATCGGAACAGTTGTCCAAGATGCGTTCAAATTCACGAAGCGTTAAGCTGACCGGTCTA